ACATATCCATAGATGATACCACCCATTTTCAGAAAAGCAAGGTGTCATTCATCATAAGAATAAAATGTTCCTTCTAAATGTGTAACAGCTATTTTATTTTTAGAACATGTTCATTTTATGATAATGCCTATGTGAAAGCATAAATTGTGTTGTTTTGACTTTCGAGTGTGGATGATAGCAGTGGGCTTCAGTAAACAAAAACTGTATGAACACTCGTTTATCAGCCATCTTAAAAAACACAGCTATGACCTGGAGAGCAAAGTTGCAAATTTGGTTCTATTTTGTCTACAAAACCTTAACTTTAATCTATAACAGTTTTAGTTTTTNTTTGTTTGTTTTTTTGGGTTTTTTTTTGCTGGCTACTATAAATGCATGCCTATTTCTAAGTAGAACTAATATGAATACAGAATTCAAGCACTTTTTCTACTTTGATTTCCATATTAAAAAAGTTTCTTTGTTATTGATCTTTCTGGAAAGACAACACTGCTCCCAAGATAGAAAATAAACTTATTTTGAAAACGTCTTTGCTTTAATTTATAGAATCTGTRCTCACTTTTCTCATAATCATTTTGTTAATGCATTGAATTCAAAATGTCCATCAGCACAGCTCTATCTTCTGCATATTTGGGCACAGGTAGTTCAAACAGAGAAGATGAAAGTATTAATTACCGTCCTGACTGCTCCCCCTTTCCCTCGATTTTTTTCCAAAGAAATCACTCGCACTTTGTCACTTCCATATTTCTTGCAGTACTCCTTTGCAACCTGACAGATACACAAAAAACCAGCATAAAACAAAACCAGGAACCAAGAGAGAAGTTTACATTTGCTCACCCTTTAAAAGAAAATAAATTAATAGCACTGAGCTATAACCACTTCAGTCGGCACAAATACATTGCCAGTGTTCGCTGGAGTCTGTTTGGGAAAATAAAAAACAGTTCAAAGTCAAAACAAGAGGACTGAAGAAACTAATGGTCAATAAGAACAGGATATTTCCCCAAGCAATTTCAACCCCATCCTCCCACCTCCAAAAAACTCAATCACAATTTAATTTATATCATACTACTACAGAACTTTTCTATTAACACCAACARTTAATAAAAGAAATATAATTTTCTATGACAGCTACCTATTTCTCACTTGTCTTGCTATTTGTGGTTTTGAACAAAAATTTACATTGATCTAAAATCCCATTCACACTGCACATTTTGGTATGTCATGKGGGGAAGAGTGGGGAGGAGAATGCTTGAGTTTTCTCCTAATTTTTTCTAAAGGTTGTCCTGAGTCCTTTTATATCCAGAGGCCTGCAGCCATTGTATGCTCAGTTGTAAGAGATGGCAGAAGGAATAYACAGCAGTCAAAAAAATTATACAAGCAATCCTTAATGGACAWACTTAAGGAAAGCAAATTGAAAAGCAATATGCATTTTAGTAGCTACCATAAACATCTTCTAGGCAGTAGAAAAAAACGCTCAAGCTGTCCTTTCCAATGACATACATCAAAGGACTATTTTGAAAATGCTACTACTGACAAAAGGATTTTTAAATGAACAATCCCATGAAGGGTGTGGCAAAGAACTATGTCAGCTGTTCTGTCAATCACAGTATAATGGGATATTTTAAAAGACTTTTTAGCTTCCTCRAATTCATATTCACATCATCATTATGCACATGTGGAGTACTTAAAGTGAAATCTCTTGTAGTTAGGATTAGAATTCTTAGAATCTCAGCTGYAAGAAAATGGCTGTCACAGTTGCCARTCAAGAAAACTAGAATCAGCAAAARAATTATGTGTATTCATGTGCATAYGTGACAYCCATGATGCATMAAGGACAAYAATAGAAAGCWTTCAGAAATATGAACTTCAATTGTYAATTRYTTCAAGTACCAAAATATAAATGCAAAACATTGTTATATTCCACAAATACATAAAAAGCCAAAGAAAAACAGTACAAAAATCCATGCCTCTGATTGCTTGAGAAGATACTTCATTTTCTTACCTTTGCAGTTTGATCTTTACTACCATCATTAACCACTATGACTTCGTAAGTGAATGAAGAATCTCGTTTCTTGAAAATAAAAGCAGAAATAATGCCTTTCATCCAATTTCTTAAGTAGGCAATAKGTCTTTCAAACATCATTATTCTTTTCTCCCTAGCATTCATTCACAGTTGTCAGCACTAATATGATGCAATAAATTTGTTAAGATGGCAAAATTAAAAAAAAATTTGCCATATTTTATGCACATGCCATTACACTGGCTTGTCATGCTACCATCTAGAACTAAAAAATCAWTTTAATCATAGAAGATGAAAGCTCGAAAAAAACATCACTGTTAAGAAAACCTGAACAAAACAAAATCCACAAACTTTCACAAGGGGTGTCTTACCCACAGAGCAAATCCTAATGAAGAACAGATGCTTAAGAAATTTGTTGGAACAAACCAATAGATCTCATGCATATGAAGATTTTTTCATCCTATAGTAGTGTATTAGATTTTTATTGAAKTTAAAAATACTTTCTAGCACTTGATCTAAAAATAGCTGAGAAGAGACAGAAGAATTACTTCCAAGTGGCCAAGTRTTACTGTTTTGATGTACACTAACATAACAAATGTTATGATTACTGACTTATTATACATAATGCACAGAAAAATAATGACTTTTTAAAGCAAAAAGAAAATACCTGTCTTYTTTCTAGATAATCCAAAGCTTCATCCATCATAAGAGGTACTAGAGAAAAGGTGGAGGAGGTCTGSTTAGTAGATTATAACAGGAAAAGCAACACAAGCACCTGCACAAGCAAGCTGAAAACAGCCACAAAGCAAGGCTGAGCTAATCAACTCTTTCACACAACACTACCTTCAGCAAACAAGCTTAGCAGCTGCAACTAAGTGCTATTGTTCCTAAAAGCAGAAAAAACACTGAAGAAAATCATACACATGATAAAAAGGACAAAACTATTTTTCTGAGGAACCAGCCTTTCATTTTGAAATATGTACTTCTCTACACACCATTAAAGGAAAAAAAAATCACTCTTCATGACTGACCCTRCAAAACAGCGCGATCTGTTTAAGTGCGCTGACAGTTTATGTACATCAGCTTTGGAGCTTGACTATTTCTATTCTATCTAAAAGCCTTCACTCAGTATCAGGTACTACTATCTACAGCCAAGTCAAACATAAACTCATGAAATCATCCCTTTTTCTACTTGTCTGAAGCTGCTGCTGTTGTTTAAAGAGCGGGAAGCTCTCAAATCAATTTAAAAAGTATTTTTCTACTTCTTGCCTTGCAGCATTTATAGGGGCAATGAACAGCCATTCTTCTGGGGCTCAYTGAAATGAAGATGATTCTTACAAGTGCCCCATGCTATTTTTAGCAGTAGAAATCAAGTTACACAATGCCTTAATTTTRAAATTCAATGTACTTGGACTGTTTTCTGGAAACTGTGTCCAAAATCTGATATATAACCTGGCCTACTGCTAACACAACTGACCTCTGCATTATTACAGTCACAACAGATACATTTTCTTCTTTTCCTCAAAACAAGAAAAATCTTACACCGGTTTTCCTCATTGTATGAAGGCACAACGACAGAGAGTTCTCGTGTAGCAGGATCACGTATATTTGGTGCAGATCCTTTCCTGCATTCAGCGTCTTTTTGTGGCATTGTTTTGGCAGTTACATGAGCAATTGCACAAATCTGTAATGAAAAYGATATGAGAAAAGTTGTTGAGCATTCTAATAGAAATTTACTTAGCTTTTAAATGTGCTACCAGGGGCAACCGAGTGTACTTCATTAATGAGGCAGGTCAGTGGTGTGGAACTTCATCCACTGCCTAAATCACACAGGACCAAAACCCTCTCATGTCATTTGGTTACTCCCACTCTGAGMACTGTTAGCATCATTGGCTTTTTGCTGTTTTTGACTGCCAGGTGTGCAGATGCCTCCAAAGTCGCGGTCCAAGCCCCTTCCCCAGGCAATCCTGGGCACACGAGCAGGTGGCACCTCTGACCCCTCACCAAGCCACTGAAATCATGGCCAGCCAGCCATATGTGCTTGCAAAAACTGAGGCTCTGATTGCACTACGCATGACTAAACTAAAGAGGCAGAACTTGGGTTCTAAAGCACTCTTACTTGGTGAAAGCACACACAGAATTCTTTTGAACCAATTAGGCTGGAAAACCTCTGAGATCAGCGAGTCARCTCYATGTCCCAACAYCACCAGGTCAACTAGATCACYRCACTGAGTGCCACGTCCAGTCTTTCCKTGAACACCTGCAGGGACGGTGACTCCACCAMCTCTCTGCAGGGCAGGATGTACACGTGGCACCGTGGACAGGCAGCAGAATGYCGCTTTCCAGGGGGTCGAACTYCTCAGTTTCGCAGGGCATTTTAAATACGAGGAAACACGGCAACTTCCCTAACGCTTAACGCGAAGGCGTTAACACGACATTTCCCCAGAGGCAGTGTAAGGCTTAAATACTCCGTCTTGGTCCCCTTTGCCAGGCACAGCACCCCACGCCTTGCCGAAACACGYTCCCCGCACAAACCCCTGCACAAGCGCGGCCCGGCCGACTGCTGCCGCCCATCCCGGGGCGACCCTGCCCTCCTGCGGGGCGCGGCGGGACCGCGGGACCCCTCGGCAGGGCCGGGACCGCAGGCAGTCCCCTGCCCAGCACCGGGGGGCGGCCTCGCTCACCGCCCCCGCCCCCGGGCCCACCGTGCCCGCGATGCGCGGCTCTCACCAGGACGAGAAGGAAGGCGGCGAGGGCCGCCAGCACCAGCGCGGCTGCAGGCAGGGACAGGGGCAGGGACGGCAGCGCCATCGCCCGCGGCAGCCGCGGGGCCCCAGCGCGCCGCGACAGCGACGCGGAAGAGGCCGCACCGCCCACCGGGTGCGCTGGGAGCCGCTGGGAGCCGCCGGCGCCCCCCGGCGGTGAGGAGCCGGCAGCGCCGCCGCCCCGATTGCCGCCGCTGCCGCCAGTCCGCCCGCGGAGGCTGCCGGGRGGGCGGGCCGCCAGGGGGCGCCACATCCGGGGCGTGACGGCGCCGTCATGGCGGCCGCGTTCAAGTAAGTGCTGGGCCCGGCAGCCGCGATCCCGCCGGAGCCGCGCCGCGGGTCCTGCCCGCTCCTYCACCGCCCCTACTCGCGCTTTCATCCCTCCTGCCCGCAACCGAGGCCCGCGACAGCGCCTCCGCGGCCCCGTGGGGGGCTTCGAGGGCTTTATCCCGCTATCGCCGCGGCTGTGTGCTCGGGAGGGGAGGGGGCTCGGCGCATCTCGTCGGGATGGGGTCGGTGCTGGGGGCTGTGGACCTTCCGTGTGCGGGAAGGGCTGAGCGAGCGGGGTTTGGAAGCCGGGAAAGGACTCGGCGAAAAGCGGAGCTCAATGCAGCCCGGAGCTACCTGCTATCACCGAATCGCARACTATCCCGAGTTGTATCCTTAGAGATGATCGAGTCCAACTYCTGGCCCTGCACAGGACACCCCCAGGAATCACACCATGTGCCTCAGAGCGCTGTTTAAACTCTTCTTGAACYCTTGTCAGGCTGGTGCTGTGACCTCTGCCCTGGGGGAGTTCTGGTTCCAGTGCCCAATCAACCTCTCGGTGACGAACCTTCTCCTACTATCCACCCTAAACCTCCTCCCTTTCCCTGTAGGAAATTCAGTGGCTTCCCATTTATAGCTACTCGTTTTAGAATAGTAAAATGGATTGGATCAAAGGGGATCTTCAAAACTCATCCAGTTCCCATCTCTCTGCCTGGGCAGGGACGCCTTTCATTAGAGCAGGTTTCCCAAAGCCCCATCCAGTCTGGMCTTGAACACTTCCAGACACGGAGCATCCACAGCTTCTCTGGGTGGTCTGTCCCAGCGTCCTTGATTCTTCTATATTTATGTCTTAATCAGTGTCACACAAGATTTAACAAATGCTGTTACRTGAATTGGAAGACAACAGATATTACATTGGACTTAAAACCCAGTAGCACAGTACCAACATCTTTGGAGCCAACAAAATTCACGTTTGCCATTATGTTTTTGATACCTCTCTGTGTTAGTTTGCATTTGGAAACCCTATGTATTCCTTTTATCCTTTCTCCCCTGTGCCCCCAGAAGCACTACTTTAACAAAACCATGAATGCTTTGTTTAAATATTAACAACACTTCTCATAAAAATTTTTTAACTTTAATGATCCCTGCTTAAAATTTTAATGCACAAACACTGTTAATGTATAATTAATAAGCACTAATTATTTTTCATTTGAAGCATTGCATGAAGCATAGTTTTAAATTTAATATTTTCTCTAAGATTAGAAGAGAAACTTAATTGTTTAAAATTGTTTTATACCATTTTCTACATCTTAATGCAGTCCTTGAACTAACAGATATTTCACACACTACAGTTAAATTTTCCTTTCTGCATTCCTCGAAAGACATTCTATACCCTTCTGTCACTAAGTTTTCTTTTGATTTAAAACTAATAGGATTATTGAATTGAAAGCCAGTAGTTTTTGTTAGTTGTATGTACAGGCAGGTTCCTTTTGTGGAAGAAGCATTTTGGAACTGAATATAGGAAAACATGTTTTTTTTAGATCAGTTTAGAGTTTCCTCATTGTTTTGTAACTATATTGCTAAGCAGTTTCATCAGGCATCTTGATTCTTAAATTATTTATTGTTGTGGGTTTGTACTTGCTGATTTTTTTTTTTTTGCTGTCTCTTGCCTACTCAGGAGCTTGCATTTGAACTTCTCTTTCTATTTGTTCTAGAACTGTGGAACCATTGGAATATTACAGGAGGTTTTTGGTGAGTGAAACATTCTTCAGAACATGTTTTTCTTTTAATCTGTGGTGTTGATGATGTTCTTTTTGATGGGTAAACACTTATGTCCATGTGCAGGCTAAATCTGACCAGGATGCAGGTGATGCAAGTTTTTGTCTAGTACAAAATTATGTCAAACCAGGTTTTAGATGCTACAAAAATTAATAATAGAGACAATGCATGCTGTGATTATGGAGGAAAAACATTGACTTTTTGTTACCTTATGTGAGTTCATCTGTTACTGAAATTATATCAACTTAAAAATGGATCCAGTATCATTGCAGCTAGTTTTGSTTCTCATAATTGAACCAAAAGTCTTTGCTTTTGAAAAGCTTGAWATTGTGATGAGCAACAATTCAGATCTGATATGAGGGAATATTGTTTCATTTTCTAACATAAGGGTTATGCATTGTACAGCTTCTGACTGATGGTATTTGAATGTTGGGCTTTCTTTGAGGGCAGGATTTTTCTCTGTTTTTCCTTTAGTTCACTCTAAAATTAATTTTAACTGCTTCACTAGATTGAGATGGAGGAGGGGAATTGCCTGCAAAACCTAAACAATGCAGACAGATGGAAACTGTAATTTTAAGTTACGAGTGAGCATTCTTGGATAATGCTGTGAATCTAGCAGTACTTATCCTTGAGACAATCAGTGTATTGTTATATTGTCTAAATAAATTAAAATTAATTTTAAAAATCAAGGTTTTTTTTTCTTTGCAGGCCTACAACCACAAACTATGTATGAGCTGGTGAAAAACCAGCTAGAGTGTGATTGAGTTTTCCGTAGCATTTTTGAGACAGTATATTTGTGCTAAAAAGAAGAAAACATTATTTTTTATGAACTCCTGTAGCATAAATATTACTGTTTTATGTGATAAAATATGTCTTCTAATTTGAACTTTGTAATTTTTCTTTAGAAAGAGAATTGTCGGCCTGATGGRAGAGAGCTGGGTGAATTCCGGACAACCACTGTTAACATAGGCAAGTGCTTATGTGGAATAGTAATAATGGGGAAGGTATTATTAATATCAGTTATAGTAGTGACTTCAATAACTTGCTAATTGGTTTTCTTGGTTCTTACATTTGGAAAGCAGGAAGAGGAAGAATTTTTCTTTGCGGTTTCAACAAACATGAAAGACAATGTGTGGTACACAAATGTCCTTGAGCATTATTTTCAGTCCTGTTCTGGGCTATTTTGCACAGTCTAAAAACTCAGTTCTGCTCCTGTATCTGCAGCACAGTTTAGGTGCCCTCACAGGTTTGCAGATGACACCWAATARGGAGGAGTGGCTGATACACCAGAAGGTTGTGCTGCCATCCAGAAGGGCCTCAGTAGGCAGGAGAACCTCAGCCATTCTCAGTGACTGACTGTTTAATACAGAGATTCTGTCCCACTCTGAATTTGAGACTTTGCTTAGTCTGTGTTTAATATAAAATGATGGAAAGGAAATGGTTTGTGAAGGTGGATGTTATTTAACGCCCTTTGAATGGAAAACAGGTTTTATTGAACAGTACTTTTTCTCTTCAGGTTCAATTACAACTGCAGATGGTTCTGCCCTGGTGAAGCTAGGAAATACCACGGTCATTTGTGGAGTAAAAGCGGTATGGTTGTTTCTTKTCTTTATTTACCTGTTAGCTGACTTTTTGCATTTGTGTTTAGCATTAATCATCCTGGGAGATACAATAATATGCCAGTCAGATGCAAATACAGTCTTTCACCTGAGTTACTTTCAGACCTGAAAGTTAATTTATAATGTAACTTTACAATCCTACTTCTATAGTCTGAGAACATGTATTTTGGTGATGGTCATCGTGTATGGGGAAAAATGTGTACAAAACTAAAGTCCTTGTTATTTCTAGATAGAAGCTATATAAKTGAAAGGTTATTGATCAGTATTGATCAATAAGTGCACTGGGAATGAGYTGGTTGGACTATTAAATGCCTTGTAGCCTCAACTTTATTGCTGGTCTGCTAATGAACTACAAGAAAAATGACTGTACATCCCTATATTGAGTTTTTCCATGGAAATCTACAGAAAAGACCAATTAAAAATGGCTTTTGTAAATCTCATTGTAATGATAACTGGCAAGRAAACTACCATTTGTATATARAACAGCTGGAAAATATTTTGTACAAAATTCAGGTCTTCATTTTTCTCTTTTGTGTTTCTCCAGGAGCTTGCAGCACCTGCAGCAGATTCTGCTAATAAAGGATATATTGGTATGTGTTTCAGTATGGACCTTACTCAGGTTTTGTACTGCTTCAGCCTAAAAGTTGTGAAGATTGTGAAGRTTCCTTAAAAGAATGAATTTGGGTCAAAAGGCATTACATCCCTTGAAATTAATTTCAAAATTGACATCTAGGCATCTAAAATTCTCTCTGCTCGTAAGTTTTTCATGTGCAACTACATTTTTATTGCTAATTCCAGGCTGGGCTTGGAAAGAAACCTGCAGCAGTATGTATTTAAGAGAGAGAAAGTAGTTGATCTATAAAATATAGTGGCATGCAASGTTGTGGAAAGGCATGTTAACTTCTGTTTCAAAGTCCCAGTAGGCAAAAAATGTAATTCTTAAAAACAGTGAAATTAAAACTGTTTATTTCTCAGAGAACTGTGGAACTCCTGAGGGTACCTCCTCACTCCTGTTTGGAGTTTTTTTGGGAAGAAAGTGATTCTATGGAAATAGGAGTTTAGAAAAAATCCCTTTTGTAAGGCATCTCCCAAATATGTTGTTTTCAGTGAGCTTGACTATGCTATAAATGAATGTTTATGCATGTTTTTGCTTCAAGTCTAAAGCCTGAGGTTTTAATGGTCGATGAAAAGCAGAGAGTGTACCAGTAAAGTCAGGCAGTGGGATGGAAATTCTGCTGTTTCTTGAGCTGCTGAAGAGTGCTTAACACTTAAAGAAGAGTTTGTGTGAGGTCTTGATAGTCAGAGAAGGATTATAAACAGAAAATAGGAGTATGTGCTTTTCCATGGAATATATAGTTTCTGAGTACAGAGCGTACTACAAGTTCTTACAAAGTTCTAGTACAAATTTACACGTAACTTTATTTTTGAGGGGACAAGTAGGAAGGCTCGATTGAAAATTCTTGGTCTTGCCTTTCATTTGAAGTATATAAAYGGGTATTAAGAGCCTCTGTTTATTTATTTTTGATAACCCATTACCTGCTTTCTTTAGTTTATGACTAATGACTTTTGCTACCTAGTTCCAAATGTAGAGCTGCCATCCCTCTGTGCAGAGAGGTTTCGGTCTGGACCACCTGGTGAAGAGGCTCAAGCAGCGAGCCAGTTCATCGCAGATGTGATTGAAAAGTAAGAACCATCTTAATGCTTTTAAAATACAAGCAACTCTGAAAGACAGCTTTCTATTTCCTTACTTACTGTCATTTTATTTTAGTTCGCAGATGATAGTGAAAGAAGATCTGTGTATTGCCAATGGCAAGGTAAGTTGTATCTCAGAATGAAGAGGGAAATAGTAACGAGATCACAGTACCTGTAACAAGTACAAATATAGAAGATATTTGGGGTTATAGGGGTTTTATTGTTGTTTTTGCTTTTCAGTCTTCATAGCTTGGTTTACATCTTAAGTGCAAAAATCAAATTACAGAATTAAGTATCTGTATTTAATGTGGTCAGAATATTCTTACATATTGCACCATTTGCTTTGCTGATGTAATATCTCACATGTGTAAACCTTTTGATAGCTTGCTTGGGTGTTATACTGTGATATCATATGTCTGGACTATGATGGAAACCTTCTGGATGCCAGTGTCTTTGCTTTGTTGGCAGCATTAAAAAATGGTAAGTCTTCCATAGAGCAAGAGATTTGTTCTGATTAGTGTTGCTTGGAGAAATGCATTAGTTTTGAACCCTGACAAGTACGTAACTGGTTCATGGCACTGTTTGTTTCCTGTCATTTGAATGTTTAATTACTAAAGCACAAATACAAGGTGAAAATAAGGGTAAGGGGTGCCATAGGTGTGTAACATCTGGAAAACAGGATGTTTCTGTATGCTTATTATTGCTTTCTTAAAAGACTACAGCTATTCTGCCACCTGTTCTTTGGTGTCAGATACCTGAGTCTTTCAGCAGTGGCCATGAACAATTTAATGTCTAAATCAGGGTATTACTTTGATAATGTATTTTGTCGGCAGAATGAGCTGTTGGAGGCTTTGCTTATACAAATACTTTGTTACAACAGAATATTCCTTTCCTAGCTTAATGCATTATAGTTTGTAAAACAATGGATGGACTGACTGTTTGCAGGCATGTGGCTTGTGAACACATGAAGGCAGCAGTTTAAAGGGAAGCTTATAGCAAGACCTTCCTTTCCAATTGTGAATTGCCAGCCTTGGAATTCCCTTAGCTACTTTGCTCTTGTCTTCCCAACAACATTGGTCACAGCAAGAGTTAGTTGAAGGTCAGATTGCACTGTTTCTAGAGATAGATAAAATTCATGACATAAGACTATATTCCTGTTTTTTTATGTCCAGTAGGCTTACTGGGGAAAAAATACCTTTTGTTAAATATGACTCTAAAGTATTTTAATTGTGTAGCATTTTGGAAATAGAAAATAATTCTGTTTAAGGAGAAATGCTTCTGTTACCAGAAAATAATTCTGTTTAAGGAGAAATGCTTCTGTTACCTTGAATAGAAAAATTAAATGCTTCCTTGAACAGGTAGTTCTAAGCTAAACACTTTCCTTGAAGTCAGGAATTTTTTTTTGGTAGAGTTACATTGATGTAGGCAAAACTCTATTCTGATTGATTTTCCATGGATTAAAAGAACAGCTTATGTATTTCAGTAGTTGTCTACATCTCTAGGCCTGCTAAACCCAGCAGTGTTTAATATTAGACCATTGTAATCTTTTCATCTTTTCAGTACAATTGCCGTTGGTTACAATAAATGAAGAAACTGGTTTATCAGAAGTTAATTTGAAACAGAAGAATCCTTTGCTTATCAGAAAGCATCCGGTTGCCACATCGTTTGCTGTATTTGATGAGTAAGTTCCAAACTGTGTTGTACTTTATAGAAACAACAGTGTCTGTAAAAGAAGTGAAAGACAGAGGATTCCACCAGTGATATTTCTGCCAGTGACCAGTGTGGTACCTCAGGCAGTGCTGCTTCACTCATCTTAAATCCATGGCCTCTCTTGATCAGTGGGCCTGTAGTTTTGTGATACAATGAGTATGCAGAACGAAGTGCAGTCTATACAGCTTCATCCTGTGGCTTGAAGCAGAACTGATTCCCAGCCTAAAAGATATGCTTGAAAGTACGGGATAGGTAGCTTTAGGTTTCTGAAGTATCTTTGAGATGAAAGAATGTTACCAATGCAATTAATCTTTCAGGAGTCTGTGTAAGTAACTGATATAAAAGATGGTAGTTTTACAGCAGCTTATTCCAAGGATGTAGTCATCAGAGGAAGTGAGAAGTAACAGTTCAATTAGAACAACAGAATCTCTGGATAACTGATAAATCATAATTACACAAGGTGAACTGTTACCATTAGCATGCTTAAGTCATTATTCATGTAGGAAAAAAATCTGAATATGAGAATTCAAAGTAATCACATCTAACTTGACTCATCTGAAATTGTTTACTAATCATTAGGCCAAGATGTTAAGAATGTGATCTGCTGCTGTTTATAAGAAATACAGTCATTTCYGGTGACATCTATTTGCAAAATAGAAGGTGACAAGATAGTGCTCACTGTGCATTCAAGATTTAGTTCTATTTGGAGATGTTGGGAGGTTGTGGCATATTAATCTGTATTCACAGAAATGATTAACAGGGCCTTTCAACAAATGGGTGGGGAGAGCACTGATCTCACAGGTAGACCAAGTGACTATCAAAATGGATCAGAGCAGGACGTTATTAGTACTTTAGAGTGGCTCTGTTAATTGCTTTAATACCATTTCTGGTAGGTCTGCAGTTTGATATACACTAAGGGTTTGGGTAACATATGAGGCAGACAGCTGTCAGTAGGGTATTATTTACACATAGACCAAAAAAGCTGCCTGTGGAAGAAGGCTTTCCCTGAGTGTCCATTGGGCTTTGTTTCCTTCCCTGAAACCAACTGTCCCATCAAACAAGTTACTTAAGTCTCCCTTTAGCTCCTAAAACTAAGTATGGAGGGGTATGTGTGCCTGTGTTGTATGGTTTGTTTTTCTTTTTTAGATTCTGGTTTATTATAATTTCTGGAGCTGTTGACACAGCCCGTTAAATAAAATACTTTACATACTCTGGCTTTCAGAGRCATTTTTCTTCTGCATAAAAGCCCTCCTTCCATAAATGAAACTTGGAGGATGCTAATTAGTGTGGCTGTGGCTGAGGAGCACTGGTGCAGAGCTGCTCCTGTGGCAGTGACCAACAACAGCAATGCAGTGAACTGCTCAAGTGATGTACAACAGCCAACAGCAGAATAAGCTGTCTTAAGCAACACAGTAAATCCATTTTTGAACTATTCCCAGTATGACCCTTGCAAATGAGTTTTGCGTTTAGGTGTCTGGTAGAAATTCCGTGCAGCCTATAGCTAAAACCAATGCCAGTCTTCCGTGTAACTACTAAATAATGTAACATTTCATACTACATACTGCAAATGGCAATTTAGTGACATTTTCGTGTCATTAAACCTGTACATGACAATACATTGGTGTCACAAATTTATGAAACTTACAGCTTTTAGGCCTATTTTCCACAGTCATAAACTCTTGATTGTGTGGAATCTACCACATTTTTTGGCTTTTTCATTTTTTTTTAATTGGTGCATTTTGGTAGGAAAACATGTAAGCTTATATGTTACAAGCTCTAAATCTATCTGCAAATATTTTGTGAGACTACAGTAAAAACTGTTGCAAAAAATTTTGCAGAACATTAATGAAACAATGTGTATCAATGTATCTGCATGCATTTTTCTTTCACAAGCAMCTTACTCATTGTTGACCCAACTGCTGAAGAAGAAGATTTAGCAACTGGAACAGTAACCATTGTAACTGATGAAGAAGGCAGACTGTGTTCTGTCCATAAACCAGGTACTTCTAAATTTACTACCAAGAAACCTATGGAGATGATAATGTTAGGTCAAGAAAAGATTATGTACCTGCTTTKCTTTGTGAGATGTGTGTGCTTTATGGTAACAGTGTCTGCTTGAATAGTCAACAAATTCCTTGCTCTTGAAATCAGTTTTAAGATGGTGGCATGATTAAAGTTCAAAAAGCAGTCACAACTTGACCTACATAGAGCAGAAGACAAATTTTGGGTATGTCTCCTGTTCCAGGTCTAGTTTGTTTTCATTATCTGTACCTGAAGCTAGAGCTGGGAAAGCTGTGTGCTTCCCAGGTGAAGGGTGTTGGTCATGGCAATTGCTGGATTAATACTCGTATTTGGAAATCACAGTTAGATATACGTAACTGAAGTATAAGTAAAAAATCAAATTGTTCCCTTTAATTTTTAGGTGGAAGTCCTCTTACAGGAGCCAAGCTTCAGGACTGTATCACCAGAGCAATTACAAGACACAAAGAAGTAAAGAAGCTGATAGACAAAGTAATAAAAAGTATAACACCCAAGTAAACAAAAGGAGAGCTCTTTTCAAAGATGGATTTGTAAAAATTGTATTTGTTACAGTGTTCACAAACCTTTTATACTAAATAAACAAATACCAATACTACATTTACAAAGTTTGTTTTTTTCTAAAATGCTTTTCACCCTTATTCTATGTACAATGTTGTTGAGTGGTAAAAAATACAAGATAAAACATTCTGTTAAAAAATTGAGTGACTTGAGGAAGCCAGATGCTAGCAAATTTTTAAGTTTGGTTGTTTTCCAACATCAGTTAATTTCTTTTAGTGTAATGTCAAAAATTTATTTTCCCACCAGTAATATAAAACAGTAACTTAAAATTAAGCCTTCTCCTTAATAATCTGAAAAACATCCCCTTTGAATCAAGTTTTTTGGGGGGTAGGTAAGTCTCATGATTTTGGAGGGACCAGTGTGCCTCTTTTCCTTTTACTTTTTGAGTGGCTGCCTGAATGTTGTTGATGATGCAGGTGAGCTGCTTGTGCTGCTGCCGCTGCCATAGCCATTTGATGCTGCAAGAATCGCAACTGCTGCCATGAAGGAGAAGGGAGAAAAAGCTTGTTAGTGTTGACTATAAAGCTTTCACATCAGGAAGAATGGGGARCAAGGGGGAAAGGAAGGAAAAATGAGGAAGCACCAGGTTGACAAAAGGAACACACCAYGTACTGGGGCAATGGGTACAGTCAAGCAGCACCAGTGGCACAGAAGCCTGCTGAGGGCACCAGCTAACATTTTACACGTGTATGTGCACAGCTTTTTTTCTTTGCCCTTTCCATTGCAGGAACTGCAGTAACTCAGCAACTTCACTGAGTGGGTTACACAGTACATTTTTAATGTGATACCTTCTCAGTGTATGTATTACACCTTCTGTATGTATTAGAAAGAGGAGACTGTGTGCTAAAAAAATACTAAAATATTCTCCTAAAGCATCTGAATGCTAAAGGAAGACTTTGCAGAGCTTCCCYGTACTGACCGTAGCAGTGCCACATTACAACTTCCAGGTGCTCACATCCATGCCAYTTTGAAATCCATTGGCACCTGGCAATATTAGTATTTAGATATGTGCCACAAGCACCCCTTGAATGTTCGCAAATCAGGAAGGTGGAGGGCTTAAACAAATAAAAATAAATTCAGTGCTCCAAGCTGACTGAACCACAGATTTCAGTTCTTGCAGGACAGTTTGCAAAATAAATGTTGGTTTTGTTGTTTGCTTGTTTTTTTTTTTTAATTTGCGAGACCATAACCACATTAGTTAAAAAGCCAAAAGGGCAATATTTTTGATTTTGGAGCCAAGAATTATATTTTTTATTATTTTTTTTAAACACAGTCAGAGTGAAGTTGCTGGATTACTTGTATCTGTTGCTGCTGCTGCTGCAAGGCTTGTTGTTGTTGTTGCAAGGCAGAAGAGAGCTGGAGTCTCTGCTGAGGAAGGCTTTGCCCAGGTCTGTTCACGGCAGAGCCAAGCTGAGACAACACTAAGAAAGGAGAAGGGGAAAGCAGGCAGGTCAAAGAGGTCAGGTTGAGTTTGTCAGGGAGGGAAGACATAGGAATACAATGTAACAAGAAAAGGGGGATCAATAGAATTAGTTTCAGAGTCAAATTGGAAACAGTGCAGAATAAAGTATACATGATATACATACTCTGTTAGTTGGAACGTAATTAGATAATGAAGTGCTTGTGGAGACAAACGTTTCTCACACTGGATGTTAAGCACACAGTTAAAAGAAACATTCCTTAATGAAGTCTGACATGAAGTTCCCTGCATTTTCATTTTGTCTCAAGGGCAAGTTATTTTCATGTGATACTATCAATTGACTGCACTTAACTGCCAAACAAAGCGGAGAAGTGCATGCTTTAGAAGTTGAGTATTTCTCATATAATAATGTGCTGATAATAAACAGTAAATCATTCTGATTTAACGTAAGACTTCTTAAGACCAAACTTCATTTATCAACATAAGCACTTAACTAGAAAAGRAGGCTCAGCAAGCACATACCTGTAGCTTGAGGTTGCATAAAATTCCCTACTCCAGTCAGGTTAATTACAGCAGCTTGTTGGGCAGATAATGCCTGATCTTGATTGGATGGACCTTGGTCAGACCCCTAGCAAAAATGAAAAGCTTGATCCTCATTACCAGCTTTCGCATCAATGAATAAGCAAATAAGGCCTGTGAGAAGGCAAACTTCTGAAGTCCCATTTAAAAATATTTAATGCTATGTGATCCAGTGCATGTAGACACAGGCTATGATGTAGTCACTAACAGAACAGATACTGAACACCCCAAAAAAGCTTTGTTTTGGCAGAAATGGTATTGCTCCTGTTACCCAGCAGAAGTCTCACATAGTTCTCAATTTCTCTGCAGTCTAGCAGAGACTACACTGTACAGCTGTAATCTTATGACGATTTCATGTCCCACTCCCAGCCCCAAAGTCTTTAGCGGACCCTGAAACCATCCATGTGCAAAGTTCCTAATCAAAGCGTGCAAAGCCTGACACACTCCCATGTTCATACTGTGCCACACACTCCTTAATTTCGCAAAAATAAACACAGCTTTTAAAATTGTATTTTCAGAATGGAGTAGTTTTCACATAATTGCTTAAAAGCATTAGTGGAGTTTGACCTAGTGTCTCCTGAAGTCAAAGGGTGCTGAATTATGACCTCTTCTAGAAATTAAATGATGCATTGAAAAACACCAGGGAATAAAGCATTACATGCACAATTCAAGAAAACTGCATGGCTTATCAGTCAGAAAAGAGTTGGTGCAGTCCAGGGGTTACAACGCTTCTTTAGCTTAACYGTATGATATAGTGCCACTAGGATTTAGGAAAACCAGACCAAAAGACTGCATGTTGACACATCATCACCTCCATGATAACTAAGAGTCACAGAACCACCATGTGGGGAAAACCTCTAAGTATGAGATGAGAATGCATATTTATATTAAGTTGGTAGCACAGAATATTGCTTTTGGTTTTGGGCCTAGGTTTTTCCCACTAAGCACTCTGAGGACATACATTCTTGTCCTTATGAAAGCTAAGGAATCTTGTGTTCATAATAGCTCATTTTAGCCAACGACCCCCAGTCTTRGACTATAATGCAAGGTATGAGAGAATCTCCTTCGGGCAATTTAACCAATGAAGAGATTGATTTTCTCCAGAAAATCAAGGACTATCTTACATCAGCCTTTTTTGTAAACACCCTTGATTTTCAATGTCTAGAAAATAAAACCAAAGTACGAGGTCACTTTTTTTTCCCACCCCAGTAATTCAACTACTGACATACAGAGATTTGGATGCTGTGAACAAATCTGAAAGCTTCCTATTAAACTGTCCCACAATCCAGAASAAGGCCTGTGGCACAGGAGGCTGTATACCAAAAAACATTTGAAAGAGGCATCTTATTTATGAAAAGTTTACAGTAGCATTAGTGAAAAGATGACAAACTTGAATATCCAGTGAAGAGTATTTGGTAAGCAGAAGGCTTGCATGTCTGGGAAGATGAACACAAAAGCAGAGCAGCTAATTTTCCCAAACTGCTTCATCWATGTTGGYTAGGATTTTTAAGTAGTGACCTGGTACCTGCATTTTAGGATTTTTAAGGTGCAACTGACCACTCAAAATTTGTCATTTTGAGGACAGATTGATCTCTAGCAAGACTTAGACTTGCTCGGTGTTTAAAGCCTTGAACATTAATTACAGGAAGCAGTAGAACATATGTCTTAAGATTACAGCTTTAAAGACAATTGATATTTCCTTTAGTGTAAAGAAAATTATATTGAMCTACAGCAGTGAGGATTGCAAGCCAACTCATAGCAGTGTCAGTAACAAGTTTTAGTTACTCTGTAATAATCCTGACTATTTTTTCTCTGTCCATCTGATGTATCTGTTAGTTATGATAAACATAGCACTAAGCTGACTTTACACCACTCATACAGGGGGGGCTGGCACTCTTCATGAGAGTGTTAGACAATGATCAGCCATGTGTTTAGTTACAGTTTTTCTACACTCGATATAATTAAAGGAGTATAACCCAGCTCCAGCCATAGCAACAGAGCCAATTCAGTCTTTGCTGTTTGAGAAGGTTAAGGAGAAAGACTTTCTTCCCCCTCTGCTTCAGATCTACAGGGTAGTGGCTCATTTACTTGTGGAGATGGGGAGAATAGGAGAAACTGTTTCATCCATGCACCCCAGACTGAGGGCTGTTAGCACACACCTGTTCTCCCTGTTGCTGAGGACTACAGGTTGTAGGCTGCTGAGATTGCTGCTGTGSAGAAAACTTTGACAGCTGCTGCTGGAGTGGGTTAAAAATAAGTGAACCACCTGGAAGCTGTTGAAGATTAAAAACAAAGGCATAATTCAATCAAACTGCTGAGTTTCCCACTGTTCTAGGATGAACATAGTATTGATAGTGATTTACTTCCTAAAGGCTTGGTTTTTGTTTTGTAATTCCTTTGCAATCCATTAGTTTACAATYGTTGCTGTTAGTGAAAAAGTCTTATGCTCTGAAAACAAACAAAGTATTTCCATAGGAAAACACATTTTAATTATTCTAATTAAAATGGCAAATGCTGTACTGATACTGGAAAGATAAATGCCAGTATTTAGTATATAATATATAGAAAATAGTTTCCACTGTCAGAATATTCCACTGAATTTTAAYAGTGAAATGGCCTTGATTCCTCTCCCTTACCCCAGCTTTAATTGCACGTTTTTCAGCCAAATTGTTCTTGGTTTGTATAAGTGGCAGAGCTAGCTTGAAAGGATGTCCTTCAATGTGGCCTCACTCAAATACAAGCATTTAATGCTAYAGAAGAGCCCTACTCTGGCATAACTGCCTCCTGTGCCTACCCTTTTCCATATTTCTGGAGTGTGTACAGGAGTGGGAAGAGGAAGTAGCAAACCTAGTAATAATTTTTTGAAGCATAGTGCAACATATGTGGAACACTGAAGCTGCAATTCTGCATCTGGCAGCTGATTTCTAGGTCTGGGACCCCACCCCAGTTCCACAAACAGTCCCTGTTCGGCTTCTAAGTACAATTCTGACATAATAAACAACATCTGCTCATGCTTCTATTTGTATGTATGCTTAGTGCAAAGAAAGCATTTACAGACCTTCTAAACTCCCCATCTTACAAGAACTTCCATTTCCATTACCAGGAGCTCTTTAAACCCATTACTGCACCTTCCTGTGCATGCTGAGCTTGGCTTTTAGGCATTCTATGCCTACAATCTCTGAGTGATTCTACCGCACTGTTTCATACGATACAATTGTAACTTCAGTATAAACAATGATCTGCAATGAAAACTTAAGCAAATCCTGAAAGACTAATTTTAGGATTAATATTTTGAATCCGAATGTCAGCATCTTTAGMTTATTACTGAGAATTATCTGCTTTGTTCTGAGCTAGGAATGTAATTTCCTCCTGGTATCTCTATGGAAGTAGGCTTTTCTCTTATTCTACGCCTTTTAAATAAGCAATTAAAATTTGCAGTAAATGGTCTGACCAACTGGCCCCAAAGAACTGTGTGGGGCAGTGCAGTAAGCAGCACTAAGCAGGTCTCTAGAGAAAGATAAAAATTTATCATTATTATTATGTCCAAGTATATMAATTACCTGTAGAAGATTTAAGGGCCGAAGATTTGATGTACTTTTCAAACCAAATGGGCTGCCTGTTAAAGAAAACATCTTTTTATTAGTAGTGAGTATTTACTCAGTTGTATTTGTATTTTGCAGTATGCCTTKCCAGCGGGACTATTTCTAGACATTTGGAAACTGGAAAACTGACAAGTGTAAATTTTATACAATGCTGCATTTTCCATAATGCAGTTCATAGTTGCTCAGACTCAAAAGTGCAAAAGTGCTGACTAAATGCAAAGAAATCTGTATCACTACTAAACACTGTACCCTGTGACCTATAATCTGTTAAGGCATTTACACAAAGGTAATTGTGGAAAACATCRCACCAATTATTTTTCAGTGATCCTTTCTTCTGCCTTTAAGAAACTTTACTGTTATTACAGTAAATTAAAATATGTCCAAGGGCCCAATGAAGTAACACACAATCCCACCCCAAATCTGAGCAACATTCCAGTGAGACAGAAGCTATTGAACAGAAGCCCTGGAGGTCTTGAACAGGCCCACCTCAGGTTACTGCTTGCATCTGTTATGCAGGTAACAGCATAGCTTGTAAAAATCTGTGACACCAAACTGGTAGAGGCTGATAGTGTTTGAAAGGACAGAATCAGACTAAAAGTGATCCTCACAAATTGAAGAAATGGTCCAAAATTCAGTAACATTGAATAAAAAAARGACAAATGACCAAGTACAAAACTGTAACTATCTTTGTGTCTATACAGCAAAAAAGAACACGAGAAGTTACAGTAAGTCACAAACATACCCAAATAATCTGTACCACAAACTACAGAGCACACAAGAAAAGAACCTCTACACACAGTTTACATTTATAAAATTCACTGTCACAAGATGCTGTAGAGATTCCAAAAATATAAATGGTTTCAAAAACCAATTAGATAAGATTCACAGACTAGAAATCTAGCACAGGATTTTAAGCACAAAGATCCATATGGATATTCTTCAGCTGAGAAAGTTCTCAAAGCTGTAGATTGCCAGAAGAGGTACAGTTGTAGACAAGGCATTTGTCACTTTTGCCTCATCTTAAACTCTGTCCTCAGTATCCTCTAATGGCAACTGTCAGAGACAGAATATAGACTGGATGGATTTTTGGCCTAAACCAGTAAAGCCATTCTTACGTTAAGGTAATGCTGTTGCAAAAAATACAGATAAAAAACAGGCAGACCTCATTTGGGGAAATGTTAACAGGAATGTTGTGAAATAGATGAGATGCATTTATTCTGCTGTGCTCCACAGTGGTAAATCAGCCAAGCTCAGGCTTGTGTCCAGTTTTGGTTATCACATTTTAAGAAGGATGTAAGCAAATTGGACAGTCTAGAAAAGAGTGACAGGATTATGAAAGGTTTGAAAAATACAACCTATCAGAAAGAGAAGACAAATGTGGGACATGACAGCATGTTTTGATACTTAGAAGGTAAAGAGAAAGGGTGAATAGCTATATTTCATGTCTGAAAGGTACAGGAGAAAAAAAAAACTGCAGTTCAGGGGATGCACTGTAATTAGAAGGAAACATTTTGCATGGATAACTAGTTTACACAGTTACTGAGGAAGATTAGGATCTTCTTTAGTGAAGATATTTAAAGGCCATTTAGATAAACATTGATGCAATATGGTTTAGACAGATTTGAATGCCTTAGCATAAGGAACYGGTACCTTGAAGTCTTCTAACGTCCTCAATCATACATTCCATTTTTTTTTCAATATTGTATGTTCAGAAAAAATAAACTGATAATTTAAATCATGCTTTAAAAATTTATATAGTTGCATTTGAAGGCAATAAGGAACTACCGAATTGTTGTACAAGAATAAAGTAGTACCAGGGCCAGAATAGAACGCCCCACACATTTAAAAAGTGAAGCCTCTTTCTAAGTTCCATCATGTCTTTTGCTTGGCACTCATCATTATAAAAACTGAGTGAGAATTTGCAGCTTCGCTCAAACTTCTTACTGAGCACACCAAACAATCCAGGTTTTGACTGTGTATTCCCAGCCTAGCTCACCAAAAAACACCTTCAAATGATCTCCAACACAGCCTATACCTTGAAGCTGAGCTCCAGCCATCAAATACACAACCTATTCACACAACGGCACTTCAGTCCATTTTTCTCTCAAAATGTTTTCACACTGCCCTTGTCTGAAGGATGGCTTTTCCACTCAGTCACACTGACCTGCTTGAGAGGCAGACTGCATTGCAGCGGGCAGCGCACTTGGTACCAGACCTCCTGGGGGTAAAATGCCACTCAGATTTATACCTGCAGGGGCTATGGCACCAGTGTTGCAGCCCAACATAGGGTTTGAACCACTCATCAGTGACTGTGCTCCACTGTAGAAGAGGAAAAACAACACATCAAACCCAAGTGGCACAAGTAAATCTGAATAACAAAATTTTTTGCCCTCTGTCTCATGGCAAGTAAATCAGTTGCTTGCTGTAAATAATGGAAGTATGGATAAAGCATTAATGCGGCTTAAAAAAAACCTGTTTTGCCTAGACGATAACAAATACATTCCATATTAACGGCATATACAGGGTTTTTTTTGCTATCAGCTGAGGATAATATACTACAAGTGGTCCTTTTACTCTAGAAATATTAAAAGATGAACAATCTTCAAAATGGTTGTACTATCATAAAAGGAACAGGCTTGTGTTCTCCTTTTGCCCTATAAAAAACACCAATTAACAGTGACCAACTGCTGAACATCTTAGCTGAATAATTTAAATGGCTGATATCTGCATTGAAGCACAGTGTCTCACACTGACCATCTTAATCAGAATTTTCCTCAGTCTAAAAGTAGTTCATGTTATACCACACAATGTATTCTTGACAGCATTTATTATTTTCTTCAAACCACTAAATGAATTTTAAGGAACAAAGAGTGTTTAGCCTCAATGYTTGTTCAAATTGATAGAAGCAAATCTGATCCCATTTTTTGTTTGGATTGGTCTTCATATGACATTCTTTCTATCTCCTCTTCCCACCAACCAATCAAGAAACCCACCCATGGCAAATTAAGAAACCATCATAACAAAAGACTTACCACACAGAGCCCACTACATTGATGAAGTTAAGTCCTGCAGGGTTTGCCATGACCTGGGTGGAGGTTGTTCCTGTAGTAATGGATGTTACCATGGTGGAAAGAGGAATGGTCATTACAGGCAGTGCCTGGCTCAGAGACATTTGCTGCTGAGCAAACGGGGTTAACAAAGTGGGCTGAGGGGTGAAGCCTGAATCTTGGGGAGTAGGGGTGGCAGAAGGGGTAACAGGAGTTGAGCTCTGAGCATCAGGAGGGTGTGGGGTCGATGAAGGGGTGTTGGTTGGAGTAGGAGTAGATGGTTTAGGAGTTCCAGACCCTGCTCATTGAGAAAAATAAAAAGTGCTAGTTTGTTATAAAAGGCCAGTCCTTTATGTATCATAAGGTTAATGGAATCTTACTTAGCACTACAATTTCTTCCATTTCTTAGACTGCAAGTGTTAATTTCTACACGACACAAGTGTGGCAGCACACACACATTGTTAAGGATGCAGTATAATCACAAAGAAAACTGATCCTCCATGCTTCATTCCTTGTGGCATACACCAATTTGTATCCTCCATTAAGGCTTCCATAATTTATCGTTTATTAGGTCGTAATTCCTTTCAGGAACATTTAAAACAATTTCTTAGTGACCATTTTAACCTAATTATTGTTTTTGTCTTCAACTGTTAAACAAATAGTATCTATGTACTGCCTGCACAATAGCATCATGTTAAAAACATTTCATGGAAAACAAGAGAGTTAAAAAAGAACCTGTAATATTTCCATAATCATGGGGTTGATCCAAATTTCATCAGACAGTTAAACTGCCATTTGCCAAATATTGAACAATTAAAGAGCAATTATTTAATATTTAAAAACCAGAGGATAATACTGCATCTTTAAAAGCTACTGTGTAATTCCTTCTGACTAAATGTAGCACATACAGCTGTATTTGTTGTGGATGCAGTAGGCAAAGTTCAYCAACAGAAAAGCAAAACCCCCAAAAAGCTTGAGCTGTGGGTTTTTTTTTTTAGCTTTCACATCCTGCAGAAAGAAAGGAAATAAATATGAATGGTGGCCAGAGCCTTAAAGTAACTGCTGTGTGCAGCAGATTTACACAATTCATAGTACTAACATAAAACCAGACTCAGTATTTGGGAGAAAACTTTTGCAAGTTTTCTTTTTTTCTTTGTACAAAACAAGAAGGCAGAAAAGTTACACTWTTTGAGCTACCCAGACTTAAATTATTTAATGCAAAATGCATATTATAATACCATGCAGGATACTGAAATGTGCAGTATACAATTATTCATAAGAAAACTGAGAAGCTGCAGCTATGGTTCCCTCCTTGTACAGATCTGTTCACAAAATGGCTCAAGACGCATACATGTTTTAGAAAATGTTTATGATCTACAGCTATGATTACAACAATCCTGTCAGTGTTAATGAAAATACTTAAACTAGGATGTCACTTCTGATTGAACTTTGCATTTTAACACCTGAGAATACGKTGCTATCAGCAGCAGCATCACCACCACACTTGCAATCAGCAATGATTTGTAAAACAGTGTAGGAGTGTTTTTAAAAAATCATGTTATCGTTTATTGCATCATCACCTTGGGACTGATCAGATTATATACATACATAGATACACAACTGCACCAGCTCCTATAACATTTAAAAAACCAGATGCTTGAATTATGTAAAGGCAAATTGATCTAACATACTGTTTTTACAGTGGAGGAAAAAGATCTACACTTTGGAATTTTATCTCATCACATCATCTACCAGCCTTTCATATATGAGATCATGCTAATTGCATAAATGTATTAAAACGTATACACAGAGGGTGCATACATATATATACAGAAAACGAACACAGTTACAATAAACATAAAATACATACAGTGAACAAGAGACCTGCCTAAAGCTGCACAACTTATACAATTTAGGGTACGCTGTACACTTAAGCTTCATCATTCCACAGGTTAAGAAGTTTATCTCAGGAAGCATTTATGCAAAAGCCTAAGATTTAATGGAGAATTTAGGTCGTGACTCACTTTGTGAAGAGCTCGCAGGAGACATGGCAGCTGGAGAGAGCATGCTAACTTGATTAAGATCCATTGATTGTTTCCGAGAAAGACCAGGAGGTTTAGAGGGAGGAGGTGGAGTTGGGGATTTTAGATGACCACTTGACTGTTGTGAACTAAAAATATTACCTGAAAAAGCATAATTAAAATACATCACTGTTCTGTGAGTAAATTTTAACTTGAATATTAGGATACAATTTGGTGAACAATATAATCAGAAATTAAAAAAAAAACCAGAAACAAAAACATGCTCTTCTCACAGATAAGATACTAGTATTTTTTTATTAAATCTTTACTAAAGGGGTATTCTGTCATTTTACAACAGTTTTACAGAACATGTTAAAATGAAATGCTGGAGCCAAAAAATAATTACCTGAAGAGCTACTTCCTGAACTTGAAGGCAATTTGATAGGAGGAGGTCGGTGTTTTACACCTTTCCCCAGTACTGAAGACTGAACAGAGCCTGATACACTTTCTGGCTGCTGGGAGGAAAGAGAAATTAACACTACCACAGCAATGATGACAGCTTCCCCATAGSTGTCAGCAAAGACAATTAATTAGTATTAAGACTTTCCAAAACTATGACAAAATTCCTTTCAGACATTTCAGATGTTTATGTACTTAATTTAAAAAATGTAAGCTATGGTGAGCTCTCTTTAGATGAAGTGTTTACCATCAAGAAGCAGCATGAAAGGGCTGGTAAAAATTTCAACTGAGCAAAGAAACAATGAAAATAATTAAGGRGTTACAATTTTTTCCATAACTCTGAAATCCTTCTTAGAAAGTTTCACAAGTTCGAGAGTGACACAGACACTTGAAACAAAAGAACATTTAGGTTTTACTTGAAAAGTTACATAATTTCATTCATTCACTCTGTATATACTTGCCATTTTCAAGCAAGACAGACTTAAAGAACAGGATCAGAATTCTTCATTCTGGGAGCAGGATTTCAAATAAATTCAATAAAATCCTGAATGCAGAGAAATCAAGACACAGTTCCCAATGGCTTCAGTGGGACCAGAATTTCATGTTTTTAGAGGCAAGATGCAGCCTTTTTGTTTGTTCTTATAACCTAATGATCAGGTTGTCTGAACATAAATCTACTTCAGCTACTTGAATCTGTACTTCTCAGACACTCTAACAGACCCTAAATCCATAATTCCAATAGCTGATACTGTCAAAAGACTCAACAGTGAAACACATTCACAGTTATAGTCTGTGTTTTTACCTATAAAGCAGGTATCCAAAAATAAAAGCAATGTCTAAACCAACATATAGTTCACAAACTGCTGAAACTAGGAAATGAGGCTGGCAATATAGTGAATGGAATATTTAAATACTAAATTAGAGCCTAAATTAATGTGCATGGGCTTTGAAATCTGAGCATTATGCATTATGCARAATCACCCTTTTTGGTGAGCTTAGCTTTCACTGATTCTTAGTAATAAGACAGTCCCTCTACATGTTTCTAATTGCTTTCTTATATAAAAAATCTTTGGAGGAAAGATCTGAGGACTAACTTTCTCTTCTTCTATTAAAATGTGTTTTCTTGATTTTGAAAATAAAGACAAATGCCCCATTCCAATGATGACTAGATCATTAAATACRGTACCCTAAGTAGCTTTAGTCTAGCTTTAGGTGGGGTCTTGAACAGGCACACAAGTTCACTTCCACAAGTACCTTTCCACCCAAATTATTATATTATTTTGATGTATATATACACACATGTGCATGTACATGCCTGTACATGTACACACATACACAGAAACATTCACATCCCTTTCTGCAACTGCTGGCCTTGGAATGCTGCTGGTCTGGCTGACACCAGGAACTACCTCTTTCAGAGAAATGCTGTTGGAGTTTAAAAGTAGGTATTTAGGGGAGAGATGTCACAATGGAAATACCCCAGTGGATACAAATGTTGTTTACTAGCAGGAGCTTAACATACAGCTCACTGCTGAAGTACTGACTTAAACAAAGCCAGAAGCAKCAAGAAAACACAAAGCAATACCAATAGGCATGAAAATTTGGGAATGCAAGAATTAATGCCGGAAATGTAGAAAGGCGTGTGCATTCAAACATACACACTTTAAAGTTGTTGAGTTTGTTTTGGGATATTTTTGGCGGGGTATTTTTCTGTTTGTTTTTTCTTTTTTTTTCTTTTTTTTCTGTGTTTTGCTTTTGTTTTTTTTTGTTTGGATTTTTTTAAGTTTTCCTCTTCAAATTGAAGAGAAAATAATTTGAATTTCTACAGATAAAAGAAGTTCAGCTACTCCATCTGCTTCTGTGTTTACTGACCTGCAAAACAAGACACACAGCTGCATTTTACTATACTGCTCTATGAAAAGTTCATCTGAACAAGGGAAAATGCTAAAACAAAAGCTTGGAGCTATCTACATGAAACACAGCCAACCCCCCCCACCCATCAAACAGCTAAAAGACAATACCAGAACACTCAAAACATAAATGCTTTCCCCTCACTTTTCCAATCTACTCATACTGAATGATCATGACAATAACACATTTAAAAATACATTCAGGATGACATTTTTAGGTTATTTAACTGTAAAACGTGGATAGCAAAAAYTATTCTAATAGTTCAATAATTAAGGGCAAATAAAAGAAATGTGTAGCTTGATAAACTCACTTCCATTTCCTTTCCTGGAGAAAGATGACTGACTGATCCACTTGAATTATGAAACATTTTCACAGTACATTTAGCTTCATTTTGCACTAATTCCTGGTACTGGTTCACCACCCTGCAACAAGCAATGAGAACATAAAAACATTAATAACTTGGAACTTCTACAGTAGATACATAAACACATAATTGTATATGTTATAGTCATATATTTTATACATTACATAAGTGTATCTCAACATCAAGATGCGTATATATAAAACATACTTATACCTCTTTGTATCGTTCTACATAATATTCCTGGGCTCTTAAGATTTATTCCGTTTTAACTTTTAATCTCCTTATTTTCCTAATGCAAAATACAGTGCGAGAAACACTCTATTGGAGGAATATGGAAAACAACAGACAGAACAGTTCTATTCCCAAAAGCAACTGCAAATCCTTGGGATGTCAGTAACAGGGATCCCACTCCCCCTTTATTACAGAGGTCCAAAATCTTTTAACAAAAGTGTCTCTTCTGCTTATGCTGCCTGTGGAAGAGTCAACCTGCTTTTAGCTTGAGGTCTGTCAGATGAGGAGTCTAAATGCAAGGGCTGAACAATCACTCCCCTTGAGCATTATGACAGACATTTGATAAAGCATCAGGCAATCAAGTTTTAAATATTGTTATATCAAACTGAATCAAATACTACATCTCTACTAATCTAAGACAATCAAGTTGAGGGAATACTGTTTCCCAAACATGAGCTGAATATACAAAGTGACCTTGATTTATTAAGCTGAAGTGCTGCTGTCGCTTACACTCTGGCAGACTGGACCTCACTGAAAACCTGCAGGAATGTTTCAATTAGCTCACACCTAAAAGTGAYGAAATACACTTTTGATACAGCCCTGCTTCTGTAAAATGCTGTTACCTTACTAATGCAGACATAAGGAAGGGCCCCGACACACAACAGAGGAAAGGGGGCAGTGTACTTTTTTCAGCAATTAGATTTTAGACTGACTTAAAATTACAGTGGAATCCGTGTAGTAAAATGCCATGCACTCAAAAAGGTGGTCCTGCCCTCCTCTATTGGTTCTTGTCCTTGTCCCTGAAACCCTGTTGCTTATTCTGATGAAAGGACTTGTGCAATCCACTGACAAACATAATCAGGAAATCAATCCCAGTTAAAACTAGGCTCTTGTAACATTGTMATTTTACTTCTTCAGCCAACCAGTCCCTGCAGTTCAGCTTACAGAACAAGCCGCAAAAGTATCAGCACAAAGGAGACAGGAAAGAATATAAGCAAAGGGTTTCTTGATCAAAATTACTTATTTWAAAAAACACCATTATTACTGATTTTTGATCAAATCAAACACTCATTTCCCTGCTAGGCACATAAGGGTGTGTGGGGATAAGACCTATGACAGGMGGTATCCTATAGAGGCACAAAACCACAACTGGCTCTGACAGAGGTTGTTTTTTAAAGCGTTTTCTGTGCTTACATGCACAGGCAATCTAATGTGATGCACACTGACAAAGCACATAAAACCCACTCACTTTGCTGCCTCAGTTGTCCCTGAATTGCTAGTCCTACTYATTCTACAACTAAAATATACTGAAAAACGGTTTTATTACTTGTTTCTCTAGCAAAGCTGAATCAAGACATTGCACAACACACAAAACTAAGATTTATATATCTTTAATCCTAGATTACACCTCAAATGACAAGTTCAAATAAACCGTTTCCATGATTGCTCATTTACCATACCAAATGTCAGGATGAAATTACTGCTAAGTGTTCTCAGAGTTCAGGTAGCATGCCAAGCTGTACTCACGTATTTGATGTCCTCTATTCTTCCTTGCTTGTTAAATACAGAAACTACACACTATCCTACTTCTTGATATGATGACTAATTCCTCCTATTTTTCCTTGTTTGTTCTGCATCTGTTTCCATAACCATAACACTGGCAGTCATAACTGCCAAAAAGAAATAAAATTTATTATTTGTCATAAAGCCAAATAGCTCTACAAACTATATTAATTTACCTTTCAGCATCAGTCTTCGAACCAATAAGGAACCTAAAATGTAAAATACATTTTCAGTCATGAATTGGACTAAAAAAMCAGTATTTTTATAATCACAAGGCTTCAAACAAATGGCAGTGCTATTTTTTTTTCCATACCTGCTCAAAACACAAATGATAGTGTATCCATTCAATGGACCAGATATCATTAAGTACTTGAAATACACTTGACTTCCCAACTACATATACAACATACACACAATCTAATACGGCCTCCTTTAATAGTAAATTACCTACAAAGCAAAAGGCAGAATATGGAAATTTTGGATTTCATATTATTAAAAAAAGGGAAGTGAGTAAATGCTACAGAATTCTTAATGCAAAAAGCACAATGGAAAAGTTATGTAAAAATCAACAGCAGATCAGTATACTCAGACTGAAAAACAAGTGTCCTGAGGGGATATCAAAAACAGCCCTATGCATAATATTTTAACATTCAGTTTCCATTGTTTGATTTCACTTATGCCAAYTGCAATTCTCCATGATTTTTCAGACCCCCTAAAGAAGTATCTCTCTTTTGCATACACTTATAGCTTACAAACTTGTTACTTTTTTTAGCTTTACAGAACTTTCTCTTTCTCCAGCTACAAAAATTAAAAATGATTTTATTTTATTTTATTGAACAACAAAGATGTTTACTTCACTTTTCATTTCACATGACAGATTGCTAATGGGGAGTTATCCAAGTTTTGATGAACTTTACTTGTGAATGTCTTAGCAACGATTTCCAAAACCCTCCACGTAACTAATACCTCTAAATTAATTTAATTCCCATCCTTACTAGACAACTCTAAGCTAGCACTCTTATTCCAGGAAATCAGTACTAAGTATGTGTGCTGCTTTTGGCTGGGTTAATTTTCTCCATGGTGGCAGATACAGGGCTGTTTTGGATTTGTGCTGGAAATAGCATTAGTAACACATGGGTGTTTTAGCTATTCCTAAGCAGTACCTTATGTCTATTCTGTCTCTCCTGAGCAAAAGGGTCGGGGGTGTACAAGAAGTTAGGAAGTGATACTGAAAGGACAGCTGACCCCAAGTGACCAAAGGAGGGGATATTCCAGACCATATGGCATCATGTTCAGCATATAAAGCCAGGCAAAAAAGGAAGAGAGGGCTGGGGGGAGCATTTAGAGTGAAAGTGTTTGTCTTTCCAAGTAACCACCAGGTGTGATGGGGTCCTGCCCTCCTCAAGACAGGCAAACACATACCTGCCCCTGGGAAATGGTGAATGAATTCCTTGTTTTGCCTTCCTTTCATGTGTGGGTTTTCCTTTCCCTATTAAACCATCTTTATCGCACCCACATGGTTCCTCATTTTTACMCTTGAGATTCTTTCCCCCACCCCATCAGGGAGGCTGGGGAAAGAGGGGAATGAATGCTTGCATGGTGCTTACTTGCCAGCTAGGGTTAAATCACAACAGCATGGAAACAAACAGTAAATAGCTCAAATCCAGGGATAAAAATATTCTTAATACTCAGGATATTTTACAATTTTCACAAAAAATMAGATAATGATTACATATTAGATGATAAAAATAGCTTTCATTAGCAGAACTATGAGGTTTGCTCAGCCTTGCTGCTCCTTGCCTTACTAAAATTTATAGGCTATCCTCTGCTGCACAGGTTCCTCCACACAAATAATCTGGTACATACAACAAAAAGAGCTGAAAACAGAATCCTTGTAGAACCGCAGCCAAAACCACCATATTCCAAACAATTCAMAATTATGAAGCTTCTTAGAAGCTCATGTTTTTCTTCATTTATTTAGTGCAACCTGATCTAAGAGTAAACAGAATATAGTAAAATCTTACACTTTCATAGCATCAGGCAAATTTTGAGAACAACCAAAATTCTGAGTATCACCCAAAAAGAGTGCAACAGTGCCCCACAGTGTCTCCACAATTTGCAACACTGGATTTGCTGGTGGTCTTATTTTCCCCCCAATGTATCATTAATGGAAAATAATGTACTTATTTAACATAAAAGTAAAGTTGAAATATGATGGTTGCTTGTACATTTTGTTTTGTTTTTTCTTGTTAAAAAGTYGTAAATCAGACTTCTAGCTCTGGAGTATTTTTATCACTGAAAATGGTAAGTAATGTTTGTTTTTCTTCACCTATTGTTTCACAGCATAGTTTGAAAAAGAACATGTAACTTACTGTGATGGAGTTAATAGGTTGTCATTTTCCTCATCACCTTTGAGTGTCTGAATTTTGCCATAGTACAAAGGATTGCCAAGAGACTGAAAAATGGTCAGTTTTGTTTTTTGAAGCTGATTACCAACTTCACATTCAAACACATAATCATCCTTCATTTCCTAAAAAGACAGAAGAAAATAACCTAGTAARTCTTGAGCACTAGCCAAAACAGTGAGTAAAGCAGACCAACTTTMTATACAACATAGTCAGAAAAACTCTGTAAGTCCAGAAGTAATGCTTTATAGGAAGGGATACATTATCTAAAATGAAAGYGATTCCAGAAGAAGTTATCAAACAGGTTGAGAAGAAAAAGAGTTTATCATCTCTTAAAAATACAAAGATATTGCAAACCCCAAACAGTGATGCTAGATTTGGAAAGGCAGACTGGGTAAACATACATAGAAACAGTTTTATATAAATTATGATAACGCAAAAAGCATTCAGAGTAAAATGTTGGAGCTGAAGATTAAGTTCTATGGGAAACTATTACTTTTTTCCAATATGCAACCACAAAGATATCATGATACATGCTATTAATAAAGATTGTATATTGTCTCTGAAAKTATGAAAAATGAATAATTTACATCTGCTTATATTACTACTTCTTATCAAATCAGGTAATATGTGACAAAATGTTTAAAATTTGACTTAAACATTGCAGAAGAAGCTTTTTGTAAGAGGAATTTAATATTAATTTCTTTCAAAATTTAACCTTTTGATTTCAGTAAGGCTCTTTTTCATCAGTCCTTGAGTATCTGAGATTTCAGTAAGGCTCTTTTTCATCAGTCCTTGAGTATCTGAGTAAAGAAAGCAATTTGTGGTGCCTAGTACAGCTCCATGTAAATTATTATGCTTTCTTTACTGCAAGCTGCTTTTCCTTGTATTTCTGGAAAATCTGAGGAAATCAGACTGATCACATGCTTGCTTTACTATATAATATTACAAGTATCTCTGCTAACCTTCCCGTGTCTGTATAACACATGGAAGATTAATTAAATTGGAGGAGGGAAGATTATTCGACATTACATTAATTTTGTTGCAATAACAGGCATTTTAACTARAGAAGGTGAGGTTTGGCCAAAGGTCTAAACTACTCACGTGTGCTGGCCAGACAGTTGGTTGTGAGTCATCAGACTTGATAGACTTTTCCACTTTGGCGTATTTTTCCACCTTAAAGAAAACAGAAGTAAGAAAAAAAAAAATCCCCTGTTATGCATTCAGAGAAACGTAGCTGAAGAACCTTCAGAACTTTACATTTATAGTGTTACACCATATTTACTATGCTAAACTTAACAAAGGAGTGAAATATGGTTTCGGACTACAGATTGAAATCATTGCCTGCAATGTGCAATGCTTAMGTAATTTTGCAATACTAGTAATTCCTTAAGCCTCTGATTAAGTCAGGTACAACAGAGTTGAAGTGAAAAGATAGAATGTTTGTTTTGTACAAACTGTCACAGACATTTCATGTGTAATTTGCATTTTTGCAGCCCTATGACATCCAGAGCTACAGTCTTGTCTAGTCTACAGTCTYTTAAAAAATCTCAGTATACTAGAGAAGACCTGTGGAAAGGGACCTGGGGGTCCTGGCTGATGGCAAGTGAAATATGAGTCAGCAGTGTCCTGGCAGCCAGTAGGGCAAACCCTGTCCTGGGGACATCAAGCACAGCATCCCCAGCCAGGCAAGGGATGAGACTGTCCTGCTCTGCTCTGCACTGGGGCGGCCTCATCTCGAGTCCTGGGGTAGTTTTGGGTGCCACAATGTAAGAAGCAACTGGAGAGTGTTCAATGAAGGGCCACAAAGATGGTGAAGGGCCTTGAGGGGAAGCCGTATGAAGAGTGAYTGAGGTCACTTGGTCTGCTCAGACTGATCAAAAGGAGATTCAGGGGAGACCTCATTGCAACTTCCTTGTGAGGGGAAGAGGAGAGACAGGCACTGATCTCTCTGGTGATCAGTCACAAAACCCAAGGAAATGGCCTGAACTTGTGTCAGTGGAGGTTCACGCTGAGTATTAGGAAAAGGTTCTTTACCAAGAGGGTGGTTGGAACAGGCTCTCCAGGGAAGTACTCAGTCAGCCCCAACCCTGACAGAGTGCAAGAAGTGTTTGGACAAGACATAGTGTGATTTTTGCAGTTGTCCTATCCTGCAGGACTAGGAGCTAGACTTAGTGATCATTGTAGGTCCCTTCCAACTCAGGATATTCTGTAAGTTCCTTCTGTACACTAGTAGTGTGTGTTTTGTCCCTGAGATAAGAATGCATWCAGAGTGAAGGAAAGAACTCTCAACTGGAATTCTCTGTATAAAATCTAAAACTTTTCAAATATTAATGTCCCATAGAATAACACAACAGAACAGAAGAATTTCTAACAAGATGGAAAGTGACTAATTTTTACATAATCTACAAACCTTATTTGTTTTTCTGGTTTTCATACTATCAGGCAACTTCAAATAGACACGTGCTCATTGAGCCCACAGAAGAGTAAAACAAACTGTTTGTACTGATTACTTCATCCAAACTATTCTGTTAAAATTGCAACACATTACTGTGTGGTTTAACTTCTGTTCACAMGTTATGGTACAGAAAAGTCATAGTAAATGTTAAAGCCACTCCCATTTTTTAAAGGTCATTCTTTGATATTGGTTACTTCTTACATACATCTTCATATAATACAATTTCTAGTAATTGCTAATGATATGTAACAATTGGTGGTCTTACATCTACTTCAGAAGGAGCGGTCAAGTAGCAAGGGTTCTGTTTCCACATATCTACGCACTGGAAGATGAAAAAGCAGGATTAATATATTAAAYACTTTAATTAAGTAACTAGAAGTATATTAAATTACCTTGCAGAATACTTACATTTCCAGCTTTAGAAATTTTGAGGTCATACTGCTGGGCTGCTTTCCTCTCCTTCCTTTTCTGTAAGTAGTCAATTAGTCTGAGCTGAGGTGGAGTTGAATAGTGAGCTACTTCCTGCTGTCTGTTCAGAGAGGAYCTTGAGTACCTTTTAAAGCACCTATGGCAAAATGACACATAAGCTTGTAAAACCATCAACATTAAATTCTCCACTGCCTGTATAGAAACCCAAAAATATTCAGGGAACTGCTACTTACATTGAGACTAATAAGTTTTTAAATACTAATTTAAAATTGCTTTTCTGGATTACACTGTAGAACTCAAAATCTTGCTTTCAAATTTGTAAAATATACTAGTGTTGTTTATTTGTTTCAGCACTAAGAATGGGGTTATTTTTTAAATGCATAATTTAAGTACATCATCCAAATGAGTAATTAAGAAGTTGATAAGCTTAAAACATTTGTTCATCATCGTAGATTTCAGTTCCATCTAAAGATCTTTGTACTATTTACGTATCTATAGAGTTATGAAGACAGTAACCACCCTCTAGTCTTTGTTTCATGACAAACTTGTGGGTACAGTAACGCTGTTCTGGACATTCATTTAACACCTTTGCCTATTTTTCTAGGAGATACTCATTGACCACCAAGCTTTAATTTCAAGGACAGCTTGATCAATATCACTATTTATAATTTTTTAGAAATTATCACTACTTTGGCACTAGCATAGTATTTTAATGCAAATCTAATTTWAAATATTTCAGTAGTCTGTCAGACYATTAGTACATTTCCMTCCCACAGAGTGAATGCAACTCTTGTAACAGAACAAACATGAACCATTTCAAGATTTTGTAGAAATAATGTATCCAACCATGCATGAAAGTGAAACAATTTCAACTTTTTATACATAGCACATTCTATGTACTAAGATTCTAATATACTTACACTTTCATTTAGCCTGAATGTCAAACAGGCAAATAATTCCCTTTATTTCCTCATTCAGGATTAAACTTTCACATAGCTTTTAACAAATCAGAGACCAATATGCAACATATCCATTTATACATTTTATGTTACTGAGCTGCCACGTTATGTTACTGAGCTGCCACGAGTCAGCTTACACATAAATTACCCCCCAAATCCAAACTGTAATATAACAAATAATGTTAAGAAAATATATATATACACTTTGCATATACAAAAATAAGCATACTACAGAATCTTCTAGATTTTGAAATATAACTAGTGAAATATACTAGTAACTGAAATATAGTACAATATTGAGTACTTAAAAATATTTAAGTATTAAAAAAGTATTAAAAGCTTAAAAAAAGTATTTCTTGACTGTTTCTCACACATTCCTATTTAAGTAATTATTACATACGGGGAGCTAATTTCTCACATAAAGCATTACTTATATTTTTTTTGAAAACATGTTTCATCCTGAAAACTACCGTTTCATGGGGCGAGTGTTCATCTTCTGCTTGTTGTACAGGAGTCTGTTTGTAGTACAGGTCACTGCTATTGAAGGATCAAGACACAAAGGCTCTGCTGTAGCCAAGATAAGTTGGCTCTCAAGTAGGAGTTTGTCCTCCTGTAATATACACAGCTATTAAATATAAAAATATGAAAACTTTTACACTATTTAAGTTCCTATATACCTATGCATGTGGGCATTATCTTAGAAAAAAATGTAAAAAAAATTATTAAATAAAAAAATTTAATAAATTTTCATTTTGTTGTCTATTTATGACATCACTGTAAAGTTTTTAAATAACCGCTAACCCACCTGTGTCCATTTGTGGTTGTCACTTGTTATAGAATGCACATCACAAATTAAAGTCTGAGGAAAAAGACATAATGGTAATTAGCTTTCAACTAGTAATAAGATTGCTTAATATATGTTCAGTAACAATGCATATCCAGTCTAGGAATTACAGTAACACTGCAAAATTATTTAAGCCTCTTCTTTACCTGCATTGTAGGTCGCAAAAGAATGTGCTTGCTTTGGTACGTTGGGGATTTCATGTTACCAGACTGCCTATAGTCACGTATTTCTGCTATGACACATCCACAATGGAAAATATTAACCTGGTTCAAAGAAAAACACCAACTTCTGAATAAACAAGTATTTACCTATTGTTCCCTGTGTCTAAAAAGAAGTTTGTTACATAACATACAAAATTCAGTGAAACTATGAATAAAACTAATGACTAAGTGTTTCAGACAAGTGGTCTTCACTAAGGTACGTAGACATATCTAAAATATAAGCTTCAAACACAGTGTTTTTATATGCCAGCAATGCAGTTGTAAGAAACTCCCATGCCAAACATTCTATAATGACAAAGAACAAAAGAAATTTTGCTAGAGCAGAGTTGAAGACATTTCACAGCCTTAATCAGTGATCACTTAAACAGCGATCTCTCATCTCTTTTCAGTATTTAATACTATTTTCTTCCCCATATATTAATAAAATATTTATTTGGGGCATTAAATACTACAGTTTCATATGCACAAGTATGTTATGTCTTGTGCTTCGAATCACCTATGTGAAGCACTTATAAAAATCAAGGTCTATCTGGGTACAAAACCTAAGTTCTTTTAGAGAGCAAGACCTCCAAACCTGAGATTTTTCCAAAAGATCAACCAAAATAGGTGGTAGTTCCTCTGCATCCAAATATTCAAGCAGCTCCCCTTCCTCATAAGGCAGACGAATGGTCTCAGAATCTGAATTTAAACAAAACACATTTGCATTTCAAGTTCAAACATTAACATTGAGAAATCTAAAATAAACTAGCCACARGAAAAAGCAGGGTTGGTAGAAACCTATCCACACAGACCACTTTTTGCATAGTATTAATTTTTACATCCATTTGTGTTCCCAGAGTTTTATTTTGTTCTTAGTGCTAGCTTTGCTCCCAGGTGACATAAGGTATGCTCTTATTGCACATGACAGTACAAATGGCATGAAGACCACCAAACTGGAACACAAATGCCTTTAGACAGACCTAGATATGGGAAGCAGTGAAAGAAACAATTTGACAGAAAGAACCCAAAGTGAGAGAAACTTGGATATGCAGTTCCAGAAAATAAGGGGAAATAAGAGAATGGAACGCTATCAGAAAGACTCCTTATCTAAAGACTTAAGCTCTACATAAACAGATCAGAGCTTTGTATAAATTTTTCGTTCAAGTACAGCTGGTTGTTCTCTGCCCCTCCATCCACCCCTTGAATTACATTGGAAATGAAACAGTTAAATGTAAGCAACAACACATTCTAACAATTTATAGCATTCAGGTATCTTTAACAATTCAAGAGAAAAATATTACCTGAACCATTTTTCCCCCTGAGCATCAGTGAATAACCCTCATTTCCTGGATAGAGGTTCACCACCAGACACGACAACGTCTCCTGCATAACCAGCTTCTCAAGTAAATTCACATTTCGCCTCAGCTTCTGCTTTATAAGTAAACATTGCTCATTAACATAATACTATGAAATAATTAGTAGAAATAAAAGCAATTGCTAGAATATGATTTAGATTAATGACAAACTATACACCTAAACACGCCCAGTTAAATTTAAGCATACTGTATGCAGCCGAGTAAATCTATTATATATTATCACACATTCTTACAGACACAGATCTGTGTAAAAAAAATCCAACTCATTTAAATTACAAACCCTAGAACTGAAAGTCCACAGACAACAGAGTTAATAAGAATAACCCTATGCTACAGCACACCACTATTTGTATAATTTCTAGGAGCATCATCAATCTAGTATAACTTGTTTCATAACAACAATAAAATATTTAGTACTTTCAGATATTTCTAACAAAAGAAGATATTTCTCTCCAGGACTAAAATAATGAATTGGAGCATTTGGAAGCTTTCTTAATTGCATTTTCTTGTCTGTATTTGCTGAAATCTGATCCAGCAGCTGCAGACACTACTATTTAACATAAGAACTATCTTTTTGATGCATAACAGATTTTTATAATTATTTGGTGTGTTTCGAAGACCCTATATACATCCTACAAATTAAAAAACTTGAAATCCCCTTAGAATTTAAGACAATGAATTCTAAACCTCAGATAATTTTACAACTTCTGATTTGAGGCCATATTTTATCTCTGACTACCAGCTCTGGGTACAACCATTAATTGGGAGTTAACCTAAGTGCTCATTTGTCTTCTCATTCATTTTTATTTCCTTGAAAGCAACAATATAGCAGATTCCACAAATTGTTCTTCTTGTTCCAATTGACATTCAGAGTTTATCAAAGTTATTAGTGCCTTTTACACCTTATATTTAGCACTGATAAGCCTGTTTGAGCCTCTTTGCTAATGTTACGAAACAAATTTCACGGAAGTTCTTATTTACCAGCAATTGGAGAAATAAATCTGAATTTGCAACAAAATTACAGGGTATAAAAAATTACTCATTTTTCCCATGGCAGTCATGCTAAGCAACTAACTGTGAAATAGTGATAGTGAGAACAATACACGTGGCATTGACACTGGCCCTGAATTTGAACACAAGTGCCTTCAGTGACACAGGATTAAGACAGAATGAACAGGTCACTCAAACCAGTCTAAGCCTTACTATTCATATTATGCAGTCTTGTCTTTAGGTAACTACTACAGTATAAAGAGTTTATACTTTAAACAAAAAAATTAAGTAAAACTTAAAAATAAAAAGTATTCTCAACTTGCCTGTTTAGACAGAAATGAAAAACTTCTCAGCAATTTCCACCTACCTTTATCTCAGGCTCTTTTTCACATTCTTCTATATATAAATCATAGAGTTTTTGAAATACAGATTTTCTGAAATTAAAAAAGCTCAACATGTAACCAAAATTAAATGAAGGAAATACTATTTAAAAACTCAGTATTGAAACTCTTAGTACCTTCCACTGGATAAATATTTTCTTTTGGGAGGTCTCTGACGGGCACTTTCAATGATATACTAAAAGAGAAAAGTAAACCAAAAAATCAGCATATATTACAAAATAATGTAATTCTAGTTACTACACAACTTTAGATCATTACCAGACTGTTCCATGTATACAGAAAGTAATCAGCAGTTATGGTAAGCGACTGTTCCAAAAGTGAACCAAACACAATCTGGTCTGTTACAGTCATCAAAAAGAGCACAGCTCAATTTAGCTGCCAAACACAGCATTTCATGGCTGTGGCATCAGTTACATGAAGGTCTTGATTCTACACTCATGTCTTGTAACTACAGTAGTAACTCATACTACTACACTACTGTACTTAGTAAATACTACTAAAATTAACGTGGTTAACACACTAAGGTACAACCAAATTTATGCACACTGGCTTGACAACATTCACAAATCAAGTACTCTTCAACAAGATAATTTCAGGAAGTTGAGTTCWCATTTTGTTTTTTGCATTTACATYAGTTTTCTCTATAGACCTGTGCACTATAAATGCAATTTATGCACATTAAACATTTGAATTTTAAAAGAGCAAGAAAGATATCCTCCATTAAATGTGATTTATATTCTAACAAGATTATTCCTTGTCTCTATTGTTTGAAGTATTTTGATTAACAGCTTAGTTCAGAATTTCCATGAAGAGAGGAACACGTTCCCACAGGAACGTGTATTTCCCATAACACGTTTCAAGGTAACTGTTACATCTGATGCCAGCATTAAAGAACATGAATGTGAAGACACTTGCCTTTTCATTCTTACAGGGCTATCCTTAAAAACACAAACAGGATTTTAACGTATATTTCTGCCAGATGTCTCTGTGGAGCCCTGCTTATTCCACAGCACACAGATTTGCTGGTTTAAAAGGGGAAAGCTCAAGTCTTGTATAGTCTATCACCAACCCACCTAAAGATGTTCTCAGTACAGTGGGTAAGAGACAAATACATGACAGCAATTTCAAATTTTCAAGAATTTTGCAAACTCAGTGTTACATATATAAGTAATTACATACATATATATTTATGTAATATGGTTTTCCACTGCTTTTCAGAAGAAATAAAAAATAGCTGTTGTCTTTTAATAACTGTGAGACCAAAATATTACCTGCAAACAAATAATTTAGCTGCTTACCTCGGCACGATCCAATGCCAGTTCTAAAGCTTGTTGCTGCAAGAATCACAAAGGGTTTTTTAGAAACTACACGACTTGTTTAAACATCCTCATACATTAAAAACACCCCAAAACCTCTACTACTACTGATATGAATTTATAATTAGAAGATGGGCTCAAAAATCCTTTGGCATATACTAAACTTAGCAGTTAAAACCTCATGTAACTGCTTCACAAGGTTTGTCTAAATTGTAAAGCCTTAGAACAATGAAAGGCAATTATAATAAAAGCAGGAATGGAAATTATACCCAATAAAAGCAGTAACAAATACTAACCAAAACAACCAGCAATGACAACCAGAAAACCTGATCTCCTTTGCTAAGCTGATCACTAACTCAACAGAAAAGATAGGCCAACATTTCCCATAACAGATGTCCAGGCAGAAAACACCGAACTTGTAGATACTGGTGCCCAAGTAGGGTATAGCCATTTTTCACAAAATGTAAATGAAGATCTTATGCTCAGAACATTACTTCCGCACATAATATAATTGCAGAAGTGTTCCTTATGTCATACTGTTAGGTGGGTAGGAAAAAGAAAAGCTTCCACTCCAGAGTTCCTCCAAGGCAGGTTAAAAAGTCTGCCTAACAATACGAAACACAGCATAATCTGCAAAAGCTTCTCAAAAGCCCACAGTATAGTATACTCATTACCATTTATTTTAATGGATTTAGCTCCTCTGGAATGTTTTTTACTTCAGTACATTTGCAGCTGATATATTTCAAAAAAGAGCAAAGAGCTACATAGATTAGATTAGAGTTCTTGGACTAAAATTTGACAAATATTTCAAAGCAGAATAAACAAGCATTAGTGTCAAAAAAAACCCCAAGAAAGTCTTCCTTGGCTCCTAGTATTCCTTTTCTGACACTCACTTAAGCTCTGACACCTCTTTTGCGTGGGAATAAAGTGCAGATGAATGATGAAAGTGCTAATGAACAATGAAACTAATTTGGGGCAGGGAGGAAAGAGAAGACAATATTAAAAACCAAAGGGTTGTACGAGAATGACATGGGCTTGCTTCATCTCCAGGTCAGTCCAGAGAAGCAATGCATTCATTTTAGTGGCAGGTGGATAAAGTCCTTAGGAATGTACGTATGACAAGTGTTAATATTCAGTAGGACTTAGAAACATTTGGAATAGGTACCTCTTCCCACATATGTGTTTGTCCTATTTCCTCAGTTTAAACCACCCCTATCAGCTGCTCCTAAAAGCAAGAGTTTACTTGAGCCTCAAGGAACAGAAGACACATGAGCCATGCCCAATCCAAGGTAGCCACAGTTATTACACAGATAATGGATGTTTTATTAGAATAGAACTCAGTGAAGAAAAACATATTACACAACAACAAAGGAACAACAAAGAAATATACAACAAAAACACTCATGTAATGTATCTAAAACAAAATTTCTTACCTGTACATGAAAAAAAAGACCTACTTACTGTGCTATTGCATGGTAGAACCTGCCACAATAGAACATTTAAATTTTCAAGTGTCTAGGTATTTTTATGAAAATGTCAAATACTTATGCTTTCTACATAAATGGATGTACCTAGTAGATGTATCTATAGCACCTGTATCTAGTGGATAACAGCATGATTTCAGATATTCAATTCACTGACTGCTTAACTTTAGGTAAAAATCCATGGCAGTATTAGCACCTGTGAATACAAGAATACTATGTAGAAGCAGGATTTATATGCACCCGACTTCCTGCCACCACTCCTGACTAAAACACGCCACTAGCTTGATATGGCAATTCCTATGATGCACTGGCCAGTGAGTAAGTGTTCAGAAGCATTCACAAGCTATGAAGGAAGACACCCCTACAAAAGGAAATAACAGAATTCAGCAGTGACAAGCAATTAATTTTTTAAGAAAACGTCAAATATTAGTGGCATCCTCCTCACCAGACAGCTAGCAGTCTAGGGCAAAAAGATCTGAAAATATATTATATGAATCCTAACTTACCATTGTAGTTGAAGCCATGTGGCCAAACGGCAAAAGAAGTACTTAAGGAATTTCATGCAGCAGGCAAAGAATCATATTTGATGGTCAAACCTGGGGTACTGAAAACAAAAAGTTCAAGGAGAGAAAAAAAACCACAAAGAAACTAAATGAGTATTTTAATTAAGTGCAACAATTTTGGTGGTTAATTGTACTTAAATCTCATTTCCATAGATCCTTTTCCTCCAAAAGTAGGAACAAGAGCTCCATTCGCTGCTAGTGCAGAAGTTCTCACTCCAATGACTACTACTACTTGTCACAATTATTTTGTTAGTTTTGTTAAATAGTAGCAAAAAGCATGTAAGTGTACATATCGTCTTCTCTGTTGCAGCAGCCTACCCCAAATGTCACATCCTCAGACGCACAGAGGCTACAACACTTAAAGACAAGCAGAGTGTTTAGCATGCCCCATGAGTTCTTTTGTTTTGCTTTTGAGGTGTTATTCCATAGCCAACACCTCCAGTAGCGGTGTCTTCTAGCATTGTTTGATTTAATACTGACTCACAGCAAGCTGTCAATCAACAAATGAAAAAAATTAACTGCCTCCGCCTTCGCGGACCCGCCAGGGCGGAGAGCGAGCGGCGGAGCCACCGACGGCAGAGCCGGCCGGGAAGGGAAGGGCCGGGCCGGCCCAAGCCAACGGCGCAGGCGGCTCCCGCCTCCCCTCCCGCCCAGCCCCGGCCGCGGCCCCGTCTC